AACGTATTGTTAATCAAGATATTCCTCGTACATTATCGAAACGTTTAATCGGATTAGATATGCAAGAATTACTTGGTAAGATTTATCATATATTTTGAAAGGTTCAGTCTATATAGAAAAGCGTTATCCCGTAAATGATTAAAAGTAAGATATAAAGATCTCGAGACAAGCTCTCGAAGGTCATTTCTTCACCGCCAAATTTGAGATTGGACATTCCTTGAGGTGATGTTCCACCGTGTATACAAAAAACCTTTGTATCTGAATTTTTCCCAACGGAGAAGCACTTTTTCGGTTTAATACTGTGTCCTCACTCGCATGCAGTACCGTGTCATACAGCATAATCAAGAAAATACCCTTTTTCTCTTGAACAATTTAGTTATAAAGTACTTTCGTGTATACAGTGGAACACCAACTTAAGAATTACTCGCAGAATACAAAATCGTATTCACGCTTTCATGTTTCGGCTACTTTTGAAGTTTTCCGATTGGAAAACATTTTGAATCGAGGGTAAATCCGTAAGCTGGTTTTCCATCATATGCACAGAAGTACTTTATAATTAAATTTTTCAAGGGACAAAGGATATTTTTGATTATGCTGCATGACACAGTACTGTATGTGAGTAATTACACAGGATTGAATCAGAAAAGTGCTTCTCGATTGAGAAAAATTCAGATACAAAGGCTTTTTGTATACATAGTGGAACACCACTTCAAGGAATGCTTATTCTGCGCTCGACCATCAAAAAACGTTAACCATTAACTTTTCGTATGATATTCTTACCACCATGATCAGACTATATCCGAAGTTTTCTAACGAGATCCAGTCAAACATACTTTATCGGCGAATCCTATAAAAATGTTTACTTTCATAAGATAAATTTAATAAAAAGTTTAAAATTCAATAAAACTTGAACAAATAGATAGAAAAAGTTCATAAATATATCTTTTCAATATATTTGGCTAATTTCATACCAATCACATATCTTAATTCAGTTTCAATTTTTCTAGTATTTAATCTTTATACGCTATAAAAATTTCTTTTGAGTCAGTAGAAAGCATAATCTTGCGTAAATATTAATAAAAACTGTTTTCGCTTACAGATTTTGTTATCATATATATGAAATAGTTTTCGAAATTTAAACAACTTAATTAATTTAATGAAATATTTTAGTTGGTACAAGTTATCATGACGAATTTCAACAACGTCTTAAATCAGTTTTAAAGGATATCAAATGTTCAAATGATAGTTTTATTTTATTTATTGATGAAATTCATCTAATGTTTGGTGATAAAATTAAGCAAAGTATAAATTTGTTTTAAATCATCAATAAATGATTATATGAATTGTTTTTATAGACACAAATGATGCAGCAGATTTATTAAAAGCAATGTTAGGTATTTCATTTTTATTATTAGATTGTATTCTTTAAAAACAACGTTTTTCAAAGGTCGAGATGAACTTCAATGTATTGGTGCAACAACTTTGGATACATATAAAGAATATATTGAAAAAGATCCGACATTTGAAACATATTTTCAGCAAATTTTCGGGGAAGAAGTGTCAATTAATGATTGCATTTCGATTTTACATAGTCTTAAGGATCGTTATAAATTAAAATTTGGTGGTAGGACTTAACTCTTTTCTTTTTCAATAATTTCTCTTATTATTTTATTTAGTACAAATTCTTGATTCAGCTTTAATTCTAGCTGCACAATTATCTCATCATTACATAATTAATCAATTTTTACCAGATAAAGCAATTGGTAAAGATTTTTTCGAAATTTCGAAAATCAAATTTAATTTTTCGTATTTAAAGATTTAATTGATGAAGCATGTGTAACTGCATGTGCTCAGATAGATAGTAAACCTGAAATAATTGATCAATTAGAACGTCGTAAATTGGAATTAGATGTTGAAGAAACAGCACTATCACAGAAAAAAGATAAAGCATCGGAACAACGCTTAAAAGAAGTTCAAAAAGAATTAATAGACTTCAAAACAAAATTACAATCATTAGAATTAAGACATAAAGCTGAAAAAGAACGTGTTGATCAATTGAGAAAATTAAAACAAGAATTAAGAAATCTTCAAATAAAAACTGTTCAAGATCAATGTGAAAAAAATCAGCTATCGTTAACGATATGAAAAATGAAGCGATTCCAAATCTTGAACAAAAAATAGCAGAAATAAAACATCAAATTACTGAAGATAAAAAACAAGAACAATATCGATTATTAAATGAAGTTATTGAATCAAAAACTATTATTGAAATAGGTTGAGATTTATATATTTCTTTAATTGAATAAATAATCTTTTTTTGTTTTAGTTGGTCGATGGACTGGGATTTCCGTGTCAAAATTATCTCAAACAGAATCTGATCGTTTATTAATATTACATGAACAGACAAATCAAATAATTGTTGAACAAGATGATACTATTGATATTATTGTTAATAATTTAACAAATCGAGTTGAACTTTCAAGTCCCAATCGACTATTTGCGTCACTTTTATTTTTAGGTAAAATAAACTGACAAAAATATAATTTCTATTTTTTTTTCTTATAGGCATAACTAATTTTGGTAAAACTCAATTAGAAAAAGCATTACGATTAAAATCATTGAATTTCCTAAAGCCAATGATTCATATTAATATGAGTGAATATACAGAATCTCGTTCAGTTGATCGATTAATTGATACATTATCAAGTAAAAAATATTTTTCAATTTTTCTTTCGTTTATCTCAATATTTTATGCCTTAGATTATCTTGATTATGGTCAATTAATGGAAGATGTTCGACAACAACCGTATGGTCTTATTTTCTTTGATGATTTTGAAAAAGCTCATCCACAAATTCGAAATTCTTTTTTAGAAGTTTTACAGCACGGCTGTCTTATGGTAAAATTTATTTTTATGAATTTAAAAATTCTATTAAATAAATTTTGAGAATGAAAAGGATGAAATGGTTGATTTTAAAAATACACTTATTATTTTAGCATCAAATATTGGTGCCCAATATGTTTTAGAAGAAGTTAAGAATCCAACTTCTTCAAGAAAAGTTTCTGATGAAAACTTATCTCAAACAACAAAAGATAATATAATGAAAGAAGTTCGTATCATAGTCTTTTAATTTGATTAAATAATAAGATTTAAATTTTATTTTAAAGGTTCGTTCATATTTCCAAGCAGAATTTTTAAATATTTTGGATAATATTATCATCTTTAAACCTGCTAATATCAGTTATCTTTCTTCTATTATTCATCTTCAATTAAAATTACTTAAAGAAGATTTAAAACAGCAAAATATTATGATTGATTTAACAGATAAAACTATTATATTAATTCTTAATAAAGGGTGTGGGTGTGAGTGTGGGTGTGGGTGTGGGTGTGGGTGTGGGTGTGCGTGTGGGTGTGTGGGTATGAGTGTGGGTGTGC